GAACAGAAAACAAGACCTCGACGAGGAAGACGAGCAAAGAGACATGGCTTACGTAAGAATGGTAGCCCAAAAACAACAATCATAAAGGTACTACAACAAAAAAGCCAAAATACGACCACTCAAAGTCGGAGACTATGTTCTCAAGGCCAAAACACAAGCGAGCAAAGACTCGAGAGAAGGCAAACTAGGAACCAATTGGGACGGGACATACAAAACCACGACAACAACAAACAAAGGAGCATTCTAACTAGAAATAATGGAGGGAAAACTACTACAAAACAATTGGAACGTCTCCCACCTCAAATACTTAAACTTCTGAAAACGGACGCTCTCAAGTCGTACTTTTTTTCCCTCACCCGGGTTTTGTCCCAATTGGGTTTTCTCAGGGAATTTTTTAACGAGGCGACGAAGGGGACGCCTCGAAGTTTAAGTATGGTTTATCGCTCCGCCTGCTGACTTCTTCTCCAAGCCGAACGATAAAGGGACTAGGTATACTAGAACTTCTCCAGTATGTGTATGGAACAAACAAAAATATGTAATACTCTCTAATGAATGAAATAAAGCAACATCTTTGCACATCTCCACCAAAGTCATTCTACGCTTCACATTCGACCTCGCTCGAATTATTTTACATTCGACCTCGCTCGAATTACTTTACATTCGACCTCGCTCGAATTACTTTACATTCGAACTCGCTCGAATTACTTTATATTCGAACTCGCTCGAATTACTTTACATTCGACCTCGCTCGAATTACTTTACTCTTTACATTCGACCTCGCTCGAATTACTTTACATTCGACCTCGCTCGAATTACTTTACTCTTTACAATCGACCTCGCTCGAATTACTTTACATTCGACTTCGCTCGAATTACTTTACATTCGACTTCGCTCGAATTACTTTACATTCGACCTTGCTCGAATTACTTTACATTCAACTTCGCTCGAATTAATTTACGATCTACGATCGACTACGCCAAAACACTACACACAAGCGGCCCAAAAAGTCAGGAACTTCACCGCATAGCAAACAAAAATATAACGAGAAACCGGAAATATACAGCAAAAAGGCAATCATTCCATTTCAACTGTTCAAACTACATTTTACAAAGGGGTTCGAGAACGCCCTCACAAAAATAGCAAAACAAAGCAGAAAATAGCTAAGTATGACGGCTTTATGCCGCGTCATCCCCATCAGCGTTGTCACGCCCCAAAATCCGAGGAGCGCAACCGGCGCTCAACCGAGTAAACCCGACCGAGCAAGCCTGTTAGATCTCATTCTATCCAAACTAACTCATGAATAAATAGGAGATGGACTCCATTAATCAAATTCTATAAACATATCATTAACAATTTCCATTTCATTTTCATTAGCAACTTCATTCGCAATATTAAAGGTATTAGAAGTTTTATACATCATTGCCAAACATCAATATTTCAATTTTTAAATCCCCATCCCCGACACTACCCACAACCTGTCTACGGAGCCTCTAAATACAATTGAAGAATAATATGGAAATGCCGGCAATAAGGCTCCGGCTATACCTTACACAAATACCAATATAAACTCCGGAGGAAAGGCATCATGAGCCACGTAGGGCCCCGACAGGAAAGGGGCTCACCAATACAGCTGATGGAAAGTGGAGGAGGTGCTACTGTCGGTGGACTGGAGTACCTGCTATAGAACCACCTACAATCATAACACGAATGTAGCGCCCCCGGCAAAAGGGACGTCAGTACATTTGAATTGTACTGGTATGTATTAACAAACTTCACCCCAAGTAAAATCAAATAACACACACAAGTAACAGACATCAATAGAATCAACGATCAAATGCACGTGAAAGAAACAATCAAAAGCCAAACAAGTTTTACAATCTCTCCTTTTCCCCTTCAACATTATCACATCAATGATTTCACAAATTTCCCATACTTTCGTTTCAATAGTGATTTCGATCACTTTCCACCCTTATTACCTCGGCTACCCTTATTACCTCGACCACCCTTATCACCACAACCCACACCTTATTACTTCGTGTTGCGGCGCGCAACCCGATCCCACCGAACAATCACAATTCACAAACAACACACAACAACAACAATTCACAAGAACAACAACAACAATTCTCAAAGAACAACCACAACAATTCACAAGAATTTCTGTAGCCATCAATACCACTTCATCATATTCAACAACTCATATGCAATTTAAGTCACCACAATAATTACCCACAACAAGCCAAATATGTTATTACCACAGTTGTTCCAAGTGCATCATTTACGATTTCCTTCCATCATTTGTTTCTCAGTTCTTACCACATAACACTCACATTTGGTTAGTTTCCAGTTACTTGCACCATCATATTGTAAGACTTAACCAACAACGTTCAAGGCACATAAATCACAAGAATTCACAAATAGTTCACATAAGTAAACACATACTTCCATGTCGATATCCTCAAGCTTTTACAAACTTTGCACATAACAAGATAGGCACATCAAATCACTTCTCACAATCACATATAACTTGGTGGTATGGAAATCAACTAAGGAAATCAATTCACATATTCTCATATAAGGTACACATACCGTATGCTCGTCACAACAAGGGGGATTCTACAAGAGTTAAAGTTAGCCATACATACCTTTCTTGAGCTTTCCTTTAATTACTACGATATTCCGGAAATTCTAGCAACTTCAATCTATTTTGGGACATAGCAAAATTGAACACAAATTAGGAAGATATTCATAATTCTAGCTCATTTGAGCATTTTATCAAATACTAGTTGAGTATCTTGATTTCAAATCCCCTTTTCAAGATTTTCTTCATTCCCTAACCCAATCTTTACTTATTTATGTTAAACGATCTTTCCATAAACCTAAGTTGTACATGCATGTATATACAATACTAATACACCCAAGAATCATACCTCAATAACCCATCTTATACTCCAAACTCGAAATTAAAACCTAGGGTATAGAATCTTACCTCTTAGATGAAGAACTTGTGATTGGGATCTTTGATTCTTGAAGATTGATGCAAGTTTGGATTATTTAAATGTTGGGTTCCTCCTTCTCTCTCTAAAATGCTCTAACCTCTCTCTAAAAGCAGTAGATAATGACCCCAAAATGAACTCTAAAGCCTATATATTAAAATGGGGTCAGGCTATAAAAATTAGAAAATTAACCCTCCGTTGTCAATTCTGCAATAGCAGAATGGACCGCAGAACGCGAATGCTGGCCACATAATGCACCGCAAAATCGGCGCCCAAAACTGGGCTACACTGGCCCAGTCTGCGACAGAAATGCGACCGCAGAGTCAACAATGCGACAGGAATGCGGTCGCAGATTTGACACGGGATACCATTTTCCAGCCTTTGGTAATTTGATCATAACTTTGCGTAGGAATATCCAAATGACGAACGGTTTGAAGCGTTGGAAACTAGACTCAAAGACCTTTCATTTGATAGGTTATGCATCACATAAAACATTATACATATTTAGATGTGCTTGTTCAAAGTAGGGACTAGTGCAAGATCGTTGGGAATTTTTGCCTATTATGGACTTTTCCAATTTTTCTTAGACTTTGGCCTTTCCTTGGACCCCAAATTACTTACCATAAGACTTATACACATATTTACCAAATCCAATGGATGTACACCATGTTAATAGCACATAAAAATGTTATAATAAGCCTACGTGACACCACGAAATCCTAAATTACTTATTGAAAATTTCCGGGGCCTTACAAGCGTACTCGACATCATACCAAGAATTGGAGGCGAGCCTGTCCGCATCATCATCAACATCATCCCCGCCAGGCGTACCAGGGGCGTAACCTCAAGCTTCACGGGCCGCACGTGCTTTAACACGGACACCCTCAAGTTCCGCTTCGGAAACTTTCTCATTGGCCTTCAGGGACTTGTACACATCAAGTTGAGCCTCGGTGTGAACCCACATCTCATACAATTCCCGCGGCACAACAGGGTCGGCAGGAGAATGAGACGTAGATGGTTGTGACTGCCGTCGCACTTCCTCAACCTTCAAAGCAACAACCTGCTCGTTCAATCCGGACAACTCCGCCTTTAGATCTTGGATCCGCTCTTCTAACCTCGCTACCTTGAGCGCTGATGTCTCCACCTCATTATCCCGCTCGGACCTACAAACACGGAGGGCATCATCTAAGGCTGCTGCTTCAGACATGGCGACCATTCTGCCTTTCTCGGCTGTAGACATGTAATTTTGGACCCTCCCCGAGATTTTATATATTTTAGCGTTTAAATATTTAGTTTAGGTCTAATATCGCTATTTTAACTAGTTTTGACTCTTTTACTTTATTTTATCACAAAATAAAAATTATAAATATATTTTTCTTTTATTTAGCTAATTGATATTTTATCTAGTTACTTTTAATTTATATACCTTTCATAAAATTAAAAAAATTCAAAAATAGTTTCACTTTTAATTTTTAATTTTACTGTAATCAATTAGGAGTGATTTTATCTTTTACAAGTACTTTATACTAATTTGGAAGAAACTTGGATTTATTAATAAAATTTTCAGTTTTTCTTGTCCAAATGAAGCCCAATTTCAAACCCCCCACCAAAGGCCCAATTTCAAGAACCTTCTTCTTTTACCAACTCTAAAAAACCCTAGAAAGACTTAAGGACTCTTCATCTTCCTCTCTTAAGCTTAGACCTAACCCGAATTCCAGAGACCCCAGCCGCCCACCCTAGCTCTCCAACGGAACACCCCAAGACCACCGCCGTCGCCGCTCCCTTCACCCTCTCTTACCACCACAGCCGCCACCCCAAACCCCTGAACCCTAGTCTTGAAGAGCTTCATCAGCCGCCACCTCCTAAAACGAACAACTCACTGTCGCTGAGCTCCCTCACCACCAAAACTTGCCGGAGATCCCCTTCGTCTCTCACCCTCGACGCTGCCCGGCGAGCTCGCCAAAAAACGAACCAACAACAACCATCTCCATCCGTCGCTCTATTTCAGACCAAAATCTCCATCGAACCCCCACCTCCTTCGACCATTCCATCAACCAAGAAAGCCGCCGGCCAAAACTCCTCCAATCTACTCCAGCCACTGCTCCTTACCGCTCACACACACAGTAAAAAAAATGGAGAGATAAACAGATCGAGAATGACGAGAGAGAGGAGTTTCTTCTTGATTATTCCATTATCTAGAATCCAGTTTTAGTTTAGATTCCAAAAAAAATTATATGTTTCTGCTCCATTTGATTCTGAATTTTTTGGGGTTTTAAATATGAACCTTGATTGAGTCGGGGTTGTTTTCGAGTTTGCCATTGTTGTTGATCGCCGTTCGAGTTTCCAGTTGGGGTTCGCTGTTTTCCGTCAAAAGCTTTGTTGAGATTCATTGTTCCAGGTTCATTGGTCGCTCAATTTTGCTCTACTATATTACTATAACTGCTAGAATTTCTATATTTAAAAAAGCAGTTTCAGGTTCATCTCTCTTTCCCGTTCCTAAATTTTTAGTTTGAATCTCTATGGTGATAAGTGTGTTACTGGCCTTTTTCTTATCTGTTTGCTTTGATTTGGTGTTCTGCAACTTGTGTTGGATTTGTGCTGAATATTAAAAGTTAATTTACTAAGAAAATGATGGCACATTATTCTAATTCACGTGACGCTTCTGCTAGGCCAACACACATATTCTTTTTCATGGAAAGTTGTCTTGAGAGTATTGTCCTTTGCTAAATATTTCATATGTTGTTGGAGTCGGATTTGGTCTAAATGAATGAAATCGAGCACATAAAGAAAACGAGCATGAAATAACCTAAGTTCGTTTAGCTTAATTTTATTTCTATTTTTCTTACATTTATCGATAGGAGCATGCTTAGGCCGACCACACTTGGGTAGGCAGCCTTAGGATTTTTGTTAGTTTTGAGGCGAGAGGTCGTTCCCTTAGTTAAATTTATCCGGAGAATGCCCCGAAGGATTTGTATATATTTATTCCGGAGAATGCCCCGTAGTATTCTGTAATAGGAGGCTCAAAGCGAACCCGTAGTACTTTTATTCTTATTTCATTTTTATTTTTATCTTTCTTTTATTAGGCGGGAACGATCTTGAGCCTCTTTTGATTGTTTATTTTCTTTTTGTGTGTTTTTATCTCAATTTGAATATTTTAAAAGCTAACTAGATCGAGTATGCAACCGTACTAGCTGCGGGACTTGGGGAATGCCTAACACCTTCTCCCCGAGTCAAATGAACCCCCTTACCCGAATCTCTGGTGCAGACTTAGTTTTGGAGTCCAAAGTGTTTTAAAAGGAAAAATCATCTTTAAAACGATGACCTGGCACACCGAAATCAATGTCAGGTGGCGACTCTGAAAAATCCTTTGAACACAAATTTTTGTCATTTTCTAATTGAAAACCCTTTTGAGCTTTACAAATCCTTTTATTATTTTTAAAAGGGTTAGTGAGGTGTAAAAAAGGGGTATGACAGCTCTGGCGACTCTGCTGGGGACTTGCAGGTTCGAGCTGATACTTGATCTTGTTGGCTTTTAGGATATTCGGTTGAGGTGTTTGTTTTCTTTATTTGCTTTGTTTATTTAGTTTGTTTGTCTTATTTCCTGTTTTGTTGGTTATTTGTTTATCGCTTTTCCTTATGTGTTTACCGCTTTATAACTATCATCATTTGCATAACCATGGGTCTTCTTTATGCAACAAGTCTCGTAGTACGCGTCGCGTGCACGAACTCTTTGTTGAGTAACCCTTGTTTTAGGAGGGGGGCCGTCGGACGTATGGAGTGGGTGGAAAGCTTGAGCAACCACCATCGACCATACGCTCCCCCAATTGCCTTGTTAGTGAACCCCAAGCTTAGGTCAGCCTTTAGGCCATTCTTATTTGCATCATGTCATTTAGTCCTAGTAGGGTTCGGTCCCAGGTACCGTGTCCCTTTTTAGGAGGCATATCTCCAAGAGTCGCTCCTCGGGTGCTTCCAAATGAGGGCTACGCAAGTGCAATTGTCCCATCCCGGATCCGGGCGGGCAATTTCCAAATTACAAATGTGATGTTGACTTTATTGGAGCAGCGAGGGTACTTCACAGGCGCTCCGCATCAGAATGTATATAAACATCTTAAAGGCTTTGTGGATACCTGTTAGGGAAGCAAGCAGATGAATGTGTCGGAGGATGCATTAAGATTGAGATTGTTCCCTTTTTCACTTCGAGGGAAAGCTTTGGACTGGCTCGAAAGACTTCCCAACCATTCCATCCATACATGGGATGAGTTGGCGGACAAGTTTATAGCTAAGTTTTTCTCGCTGGGGCATATGGAGACTTTGAGAGATGAGACATTGGCCTTAAACAGGAAACTAATGAACCACTTCATAAAATTTGGGAAAGGTATCGGACAATGGTGAAAGAATGAGAACTTAGAATAGAACCGATATTCTTGTAACATTTACGATGCAATTCTCAAATAACCTTCATATTCTTCTTGGGTACAAGATTATAGTAGAATATCATCAATAAAAGCTATGATAAAGCTGTTCTAAATAACATGAACAACCTATTTATTAAGCCCAAGAATGCAGCTGGAGCGTTGGTAAGTCCGAAGGGAATCGCAAGGAACTCATGATAATGTGCCGAGTTCGGACTATTGTTTAAGGAATATCTTCTTCTTAGATTCTAAGCAATTGATTAAGCAAGTCAGTTATAGGAGGTAACGTATACATATTGTGCAGTATTACCTTATTCAAACTGCTTTTAGTCGATGCACATCCTAAAGACCCGTGATTCTAGCAATGTATACATGTGGTGCAGTATTACCTTATTTAAACTGCTTTTAGTCAATTCACATCCTTAAAGACCCGTGATTCTAGCAATGTATACATGTGGTGCAGTATTACCTTATTTAAACTGCTTTTAGCCGATGCACATCCTTAAAGACCCGTGTTTCTTTTTCACAAATATCTCCGGTGCACCCCAAGAAAATATAATCGATCAAACAAACTCTTATCTAGTAGTCTTGCAATTTTTCTTTTCTTCCTTTAGCCCTTTCCAACTCCGTTCGTGTCATATAGTATGAGTTTTTTTTTATATATATATAATGTCAGGTGTCAAATAAAATTTGTTTTTCACACTGGAAGTAGTCCTATTAAATCTTCAAAAAATACATCAAAAAATTCTATTGATATTGGTACCTTTTCCCCGCTAGGAGTCTTATCCCTTATATCTTTTATCATAGGTAGAGAACCCCAACAATTGTTCTTTAGTAATATTGAGCTTTTATATATAATCTAATCTTATCTATCTTTGCAACTTCTTTTTCTCTTGCGAAAAAAAATAGATTAATTTTGATGACTGAAACTCAACTACCTTTGTATGGCATTCAAGGGTGTCATAATAAGAAGCTAATTAATCCATATCTATTGGCATTTCAAAGTAGATCATATAAAGTAATATCGAGCCACCTAGGATAAATTTATGCTCAACTTAAATTTGACAATCTTGTTAAACATGTTTGGTTACCTTGGATTCTAAAACATGAGCAACAATCCAAACAATTTATTCAGCATCTCACTGTCCTTGTTTTCAATTGTTCGATCCGCATTAAAATGCTCATCGAAGGAATTTCCCAGTCTTGTGCTTTGCCTTTAAAACTTTTATTGCATGCCTATCACGTCATGTTTTTAATTTTCTAGCAAGATCAACTACCATAAATAGGTCATAATATTCGTATATAAATACCGCCTTGTTTAAAAGACTAAGCAACTCTTAGACAAGCCTCTAAACTTGAGATGATGTGTATCTAAGCTAGCTGAGAAAGTCTAATTCCATATATCAGTACATCTGTTGCCTGAACTAATTTCTTACCTAGTAGATTCACGCTATCGACTTTCAAAAGAAGGTGATTCATAAATATTTTAGTAAACTCATTCCCAAGTTAGTTGTGTGCTCCTACCGATGTAACTAAAATACATAACATACCATAAATTGACCATGTTCTTCAGTCTATAAGTTTTTAGCACCGTCCACCTCTGGCTACATCTTAGAGTCCATAATGCTTTAAGTTTTCCATTATGACATCTGAGGATTCTTCGAACGATTAGAAATAGTAAATTTGATAGTTTCAACTTTAGGAATTATATTAAGAATAGTTCTCTCTTTTCAATAATCTTAGTTAGTTTAGGTGCCTTAAGCGTTTTAATCCATGTTTTTCTTTCCCATTCTTCTCTTATCTATTCATTATATCCATTAAGATCTCAATTTCCTTTTTCATCAAAGTAAATACCTTTGTGAAAATACTTTCCTATTGTTATAGTGGTGGACTAGTGGTAATTTCAGGAATTGACTTTATCACACATCTTAGCAGTATGAAAGTTCCTCATTATGGTACAACAACACCTTTTATTCGCATTTCTACTACGGTTGCTTTCCTTTTCTAGGAGACAGTTGGGTGCCTAGTGACAACACTTGTATCTTTGAACCTCTAGCCAAGTTCTATTATTGGGTGATTGGACCTAGCAAAACAGGAACAAAATGAAAGGTGATATATTCAGCTAACCATAATCATCACACACGTACGGAGGAATAAGAAAGAAAGACGAGACACATCCTATCACGCCCTCGCAGAATCACGATTATGAGAATGTCCAGCTACATGACCATAATTGAGATTCTACTACCGACGTGCGCTCCATTCATCACAAGAATAACCCTACGCTCTGATACCAACTTTGTCACGATCCAATTTAGAATCATGACCGGCGCTTAGGAGCAAGTGCCCCCAAGTAAGCCTCATCGATATTTTACAGAAAATCGGACAGAGTTTTCCCTATTTTTAGGACTATCCAAAAAAAATTTCCCGTCTCATAAACAAATAACAACCAACCAACATTCACCTAAATCAGTCATAATCTTAATCAACTAGCCAAAAAGAGTTTTCACCAACATTACAAACCTTATCAACATAATAATACTAAACACATCTAAAAAAGTGCAATACTAATAACTAACCCAATATATCGAATGAATACCCCATAACACTAATAAAAATGACTATGGAGCGACTCTAAGAGTTCAAAAGAAAAGACGATAACAAATAAATAAACTCTTCGCCCACGCGAACAAGTGCGGGGCTCACCAGGAACTATTAACTCGTATACTCTAATTAGTGAAATCCTTACTCGCGTCAACTGTTGTCTCTGTAAAAAAAAGAATATCGGGGAGTGAGTCGCTAGCTCAGTGAGTAATAACACTTAACCACAACCGTTTTTAATGGGGACAAGTCAGAAAACATGCTTGTATAGTATCAGAAAATATCATGAAATAAATGCCCTTTTTCAGATTTGGTAACAACAATCAATCTTGTCTGTTTTCATGTGAGCAGGAACAAATTAATAATTCAGTAATAAACTCTATAAACACTGTCATATCAAACCTTATATTTGGGAGGTTTCCAAGAAAGGATCATGTAATCTGTATCTCTGTGTGGACCCCTTCGTAAAAGGAGTCAAATATAACTGTAGGTCCCTACTCGAGGGAAAACTGTAACTGTATGCTAGTTCTACCTTCCCACTAGCGAGGGCTATAACTGTAATCGGTAATCTGTAAATACAAGGTGCACCAGGTCTAACGAACCCGCCGTTAGCTACGGGATCCTTCAAAGTCTCCTCCCATTTATACTCTTTCTTGTAAACAGTAAATGCTCGTACAAAAGCATTCTCAAAATAATAAAGGGCATATCATTTCTTATCAAATCTTGTAATTTTATTTCGGTAATGGAAATCATGTCTCAAGTAACAGTAAAACATGTCTAGTAACGGTGATAATAATTTAAATAACTGTAACATCTCAAGTAACGGTAAAACATATCTAGTTACGGTGGAAACATTTAGATTAACCGGTAAACATCTCAAGTAAACTGTTCAGTAACATATCAAGTAAAGGACTTTTCCCACATGCAATTTCAAATATTCGGTAACACATTTATTTTCAAAATAATATATAAACCATGCAGGTTATGAAAATACAAATTGCGATAAGATTACTACTCACCGAACTCGTGTCGCAATACCAAACACCTCAAGCAATTTGTATGACTTCTTATCGATCCAAGTGCTCAATTCGTGAGAAATCTATAAATTAATATAAGTTTATGTTAACGTCTGCTAATCGCGAAATTCAGTAAGTTTTAGTGATAGCGAGTCACAATTCCGATTACCCATGTCTCAGTGTTACTCAAAATATCATCTGTTAGACTACCTATAATGCTATCAAAACTAAATCTTAATAGTTTTTTTCTTTTTCTTTTTAATTCCAGGTTCATGGTTATTCAAGAACTAGTATATATCACATGAAAATCCATGTTACTGTTACCCACCATAGTTAAATACCAAACTCAATTCTAATATTATAATAGAAGAGTTAAACAATATGAAACCAAAATTCTTCCAGAAGACTTACGTTCTTAGTTCTATTAGTTTCTTGTTGTAATTCTTTGATGCCAAACAGAGTACTTTTACTCAAGAAAAAGAACTGATGCGTCTTGCTCTTCTTCAAGCATCGTGTCCCAGCAGCAGTTTGGGTTTTTGACTCCACGTTGCTGTTAAATTTCTCGTTCTCACTTTGCTTATGAATTAGAATTGTAGATATTTGCCCAATTTTCCAAGTTGTACTATATTTGTTGGACAAAAAGTCTTTCTACAAACCCTTATTAAACCCACGCCACACCTCTGATGGGCTTTGGCCTCTTTCTTTTTTTTTTTATAGCTAAATGACGAATTTGTCCTTGGTTAAAATTATGGGTTATTACAGATATTTACAAACTAAATTAAATAAGACACAATACAAAGAATAGGGCCGCCTCTCTTATTGGACCTGCTGCTTTCCTTTATCAGGTTGGGCCGGAGATACATCTGGGTTACACCCCCCCCTCCCCCCAAGTTGGAGGGTGAGAACACACCAAGCTTGCAGAGAATCCCATGATGTAGAGGACCAGAAAGAGCCTTAGTCATGATATCATCCAACTGTTGAGCACGGGAGACAAAATGCAAAGGAATCAACCCTGAATTCAGACAAGTGCGCACATAATGACAATCAATCTCAATGTGCTTAGTGCGTTCATGGAAGACTGGATTTTTGGAGATGTGAAGAGCTGCCTGGCTTTCACAGAAAATGGGAACAAGCTGGAAATAGGCAATCCAAGATCACCCAGGAGCCTAATCAACCAAGTGACTTCAATTGTCACCTTGCGCAGAGCCCTATACCAGCCTCAGCTGAAGATAAAAGATTGTAGGTTGTTTCTTGCTCTTCCAAGAAACAGGGCTGCCACCAAGGGTAATATAATAATCGGTGACTGACTTGCAAGAAATGGAGCAAGCTGCCCAATCAAAATCAGAATAAGCTTGCAAAGAAAAATCAGAAGAGCCGGAGAGAAGGATAACCTGAGCAGGGTCATTCAAGAGATATCTAAGCACATGTATAGCAGCTAGCATGTGAGTCACTTGTGGCTTTTGAAGAAATTGACTCAATTTTTTGGACTGAGAAAGAGATATCATTCCTAGTGTGCTGGAGAAAATTGAGCTTCCCAATTAACCTTCCATACAAGCTGGGGTCAGAAAAAGGTTCACCCATATCTAACACAAGCTTGACAAAGGGATCAAAAGGAGTAATCACAGAAAGTGCTGGCAATTAAATCTAGACAGGAGATCAATGGTGAACTTGTGCGGGCACATGATATATCCCTAGAAATGTAAAGAAATCTCCAAACCCGGAAAGTAGTAGATTGTCCCCAAATCCTTAATTTTAAACTGTGTATCTAAGAAAGACTTTAAGGACTCCAACTCCACAAGATCATCACCAGCTAGTAAAATATCATCAACATAGACAACCAATACCACTTGAGAGGCAGAAGAGGTCTTGGTGAAGAGTGAGTAATCATTCATACTAGCAATGTAGCTTCTTGAATGCAAAGCCTCAGACATTTTTGAAAACCACTATCTGGAGGACTGCCTAAGGTCATAAAGAGAGTTCTTGAGTTTGGAGACCAAATGGGAAGAATTAGAAGAGGCACACACTTCAAGGCCATGAGGGACCTTCATATAAACCTCTTCATGAAGATCACCATGAAGGAAAGCATTATTCACATCAAGTTGAAAAATAATCCAGCCCCACTTAATAGCAAGGGTCAGCAACACTTGATGGTGGTGATCTTGACAACAGGAGAGAAGGTCTTAGTAAAGTCAATACCCTCCTTTTTGTGTCCCCTCTAATGACCAATTTGGATTTATACCTCTCAATTGAGCCATCCGCTCTTTGTTTAATCTTATACACCCACTTACAAGGGATATCTTTCTTGTGAGTGGGGAGAGGTAATGTCACAAGTCTAATTTGCCTCACATGCCTGGAATTCCTTTAGCATTGCATCTTGCCATGCAAGATGAGAAATTGCCTGCTGGTAGAACTGAGGCTCATGCATATGTATAACACTAGAAGAAATCTTGGAATAAGTTGAAAGAGAAGTAGGGGATAGAGCAGAAGAACAAATATAATCATTAAGATAAGTGGGCTATTGAACAGTTCTGGCAGATTTCCTCAAGTGAGGAAGAGATGGTTTTGAAGGAGTCTAGGAAGAAGTAGGAGGAGAGGTAGCAGAATCAGAGGGCAAGGTGCTAGGAGGAGAAACAATGGGAACGGTAGTAGGAGCAGAAGGAGAGGTTTTTGGTGGAGTGAGAGAATCCAGAAATTCTGAGGGAGAAGGAAACATAGAAGAAGTAGATTTTTAAGGAAAAATATGCTCATTAAATATTGCATCCCTTGAGAAAAATATGGCATGATTATCAAGGTTGAGGAGTTTGTAGCCCTTTTTACCATATGGTACCCCAATAAAATAGTAGTAGACCTAGATTGAAACCTATCTTTACCAACCTTAGGGTAAGTGGCATAGCATAAGCAACCAAAGGATTTCAAATGATCATAACTAGGAGGAGTGTGATGAAGTTGCTCAAAAGGAGAAACATTCTGAAGTACGGCTGGGGGCATTCTATTTATGAGGTAAGTGGAACTTAATACACAATCCCCCAATTACTTGAAGGAAAGATTAGATTGAAACATAAGTGTCTTTGATACCTCTAATAAATGCTTGTACTTCCTTTCTAGAATCCTATTTTGTTTAGGAGTGTGAGGGATTATATTTTGATGTAAGATGCCTTGGCTAGAAAAGAACTTAATAGCCTCAGAACTACTACCAAGCTCAAAGGCATTATCAGATATAAAGGCTTGAACAGATGAATGAAAATTTACCCTAACCATGTTGACAAAAGCTTTAAGAATAGAGCGGGCATTACTTTTACAAGATAGAAGATGAGTCCAGGTGACTCTTGTATGGTCATCAACTAACATTAGCAAATATCTAAAACTATTATAGGTTCTAGTGTTGTAAGGACCCCAAATATCAATATGAATCAATTGAAAAAGGGCAGAAGAGTGTATAACACTGTCAGAGAAAGGCAATCTTTGTTGTCTGGACATTGGACATATAGGACAAATAAAAGACTGTTTAGATGATACTTTATCAGACAAATATGATATACATTTCATTCTATTAAAAGGCATATGCCCTAGTCTCCGATGCCAAAATAAGTCCATTTTATTGATGGGGATGATTGATTACAAGTTGAAACACTAACAACTGGATGAGTAAACTGATTGGACTCATTAGAAGATACTGGGAATAAAACAAGCATAGAAGATTGATTACAAGCAGCAACACTAAGATCAGACTTAGGAATAGGTAAAGTATTACGAGGAGAACAAACAGACATAGAAGTAGATGAAACTGGAAAAAAATCTGCATTTGGATAAAGGTAATAGAACCTGCCTGCTGGTTTACCAATTTCCAGTGGCCTCTTCAGAGAAGGGTCCTATAAAGAATAGAGTGATTTGGTAAAAAGTGCTGACCAATCTAGTTGAGATATAAGTTGATGGACAGATATCAAGTTAAAATGAAAAGATGGTAAAAGAAAGACATTTAGTAAAATTATATCATGTCTAAGATGCAATGATCCAATTGATATAACCTTAACTTTATGTCAAGACCCAAACCGAAAGGGCCGCGATGGGCACCCGGTGCCTAACTCAACCGAGTACCAATGTAACGTATCCTTCTTATCATACTATCATGGGTAAATGAGCCGGAAAGGCTGTCATAAGATAACCAGAATTAAACCTAAGAGAATACTCAGCATAGGACGACCCAACATGGTATACAAACCTATAGATGTGACATACATGCTAGTATAAGGCCAACATGATTACTCTTAGAGTACATAAACATCATAATGGTCGGGACAGGGCCCCACCATGCCAATCAATACATGTCTAAAGCATACTGACCAAATAGTCAACTCCAGAGCTAGTGGAGTGCACCAACACCTTTCCCTAAGCTGATAGCCTACTAGGAGGACTGTCAACCTCTCTATTGAGACCTGGGGGCATGAAATACAGCGTCCCCAAGCAAAAGGGACGTCAGTACAAATAAAGTACCGAGAATGTAAGGCATGAAAGAAGTAAATAAAAGACATAAATGAAACATGGATTAAAAAAACTCAACCTATAAGTCTGAATAGCTTTGTGAATCATGAAATATTTATAATGTCATGCATATACGTATAATGTTATATCATGCATAGGTATATGCGTACATAACATCATCAAGCCTTTTTGGGTATCCCATCATATCATCTCGGCCTCTGTGGGCGAAATCATCAACATATACCAACTGATCAGGTGGTGGTGCGTATATAACGTTGTAACCTTTCCCCATACCCCATATAAAAATAATATACGCGTATATAACGCCATATGGTCATGACTCAATGTACATGTATAAATGAATGCAATGTATAATGAAGTAACTCAATAAAATCTCTCGAAATATCATAAGATCATTGTGCCTTCGGATAAACTTTATCAACATACGTATTTTCTAAGACCTATGAACAAACGATATAATAATAGGACACATGGGGAATCAAGAATGTAACACCCCGTACATTCGGACTAGGTGTGGATATGTTAAATAAGTATTAATTTGATATTTTAGACATATGAAGTCATAGCGGGATGAGTATGGGTGAAAATAGTTATTTTGGAATCAAGACGGAGAGTGAGGTGCATAAGATTCGATAAAATCTACTAAGTTCTTCAAAAGGTCTGTCTTACAGCAAGATTTAGTGAAGTTGTGTAAGGAATTTAGGAAAACTTAAAACACTAAAGTTGTAGGCCTTTGAAATAACATTCCAACTATATATTGTGGAGCCTAGATGGATCTCTGTAAAAAAAAAGTTGTGAGCGTTTTACAGAGCAGTGCGCAAAATGTGCGCCTAGAGGGTCACGTGCGCGGCCGCGCACTTGTGGAAGTGATACTGTCATTTTGCGCGGTCAGGCCTTCAGGTGTGCGGGGGCGCACCCGGGGGGTCATTTTTAAAGCCCTACTTCGTCCCCCATACCCCAAAATGCGAAAACTTGCTCTAGAAAGGGAAGCTCTCAAGAACCTAACTCCTCAAAGGTCCCTCCACCATCCAAGGTAAGTTCTAATGGTGATTCTAAGTTAATTTCAATTTCCTAACACCTTTTTAACATGGGAAAACCCTCCAAATCATTAAATATTCGATTGGTACATCATGGTTGAGAAAAGAAACCCTAGAACTCGAATTCAAGAGGATTGAACTTCAAAAAGGTAATGTCTTCACCCTCTAATTGATTATACCATTGGATTAATGATTATAGACTCTATGTTCATGAGATATGAGTTGATGGGTTTGATAGAAAAGTATAAATGATTATAGGTTTGGGTTGTTGATTGTTGATTATTGGTTAAGGGTGTTGTTTATCTTATGAGTGATGAAGTATGGTATGGTATTGATTATAACAATTGGAGATTTTAGTATTATCTAGGAGCAAAAGGATGGGTTGTTGGGTGTAGAAACACCATTAATAAGGACTATGAAGTTTTATGCCTACCAAGTGTTTGATAAAAGGACTAAACGGCCAAAACATAAGTGTTATTGCTAATATGGAATCCCTTTGACTTGTATTAATATAGATTAAAGTTGAAAGAGTTGGTGAATATTGTATTACGCTCAAGAGCAGGAAGTTAAGGTATGTAAGGCTTACTCTCTATGTTTGGGAATGTTAATGATTCTCCCTACACTACATTTCTTTTACGACGTTACTAATTGCCTCAGAAATATAGTTAAGCCTAGTTCCCTCCATAGTTGTAGAACTTCTATTCTCTAGCTTCATAATTCGTTCATGACTTTCATTCCGAATGTTGTGAGCTTAGTGCGTAATCAATATAGACTTGTGTTTAGTTCTCATGAGTCTCAGTCTAGATTACTAGCATGTCATAAATAGTTGAAGAATAACTTCTCATAATCAGTTCATGAATACATGTCTCAGTTCAATTCTATTCAGCACTCAAGTGTCATGTAACTCAATATGGTTCAGTATTTCAGTATCATGTATTACAGTACAATTCTTAGTTCATGTTTTTTAATCCCTGAATGTTAAACACCTGTATTTGGACCTGAGGCCGTATTTTATATGCTTTATGCATATTTGGGCCTGAGAGCGTAGTTTATGCTTTATGCATGTTTGGGCATGGGGCCGTAGTTGATGCTTTATGCATTTTTGGGCCTGAGGCCGTAGTTATGTATACGTATACTTGGGCCTAAGGCCGTAGCTTTTGCACATTTATACTTGGGCCTGAGGCCGTAGCTTGTGCACATTTATACTTGGGCTTGAGGCTGTAGCTTGTGCATATTTATATTGGGCCCGAGGCCATAGCTTATTCAGATAAACAGGTTGTTCATCATTCAGAAAAGAGAGTATTCATATCCTTACTTCCTTTGTTCAGTTCAGCTATCAGTTATCGTTATCTGTTATTAGTTATCATTTCAGTTTCCGTTTCAATAGTTATCAT